TCTGCCTCCAGCTCAGGTCATGATCCCAGGGTCCCGGGATCAAGCCCCACATCGGGCTCCCTGCTCAGTAGGGAGCCTGCTTCTCCCTCTGTCTGCCGCTCCCCCTGCTTGTGCTCACTCTCTATCAAATAAATAAATAAAATCTTTAAAAAATAATAAATTCCAAAGTCTGGGTGAGGTGTTTCATTTTTCCCTTTGAAATGTTTTTCTGCCCCCAGTGACCTGTGTGCGGGATTGATTGGAGGTCTTGGTGTGACACCAAGTGGCAACATTGGAGCCAATGGGGTCGCGATCTTCGAGTCGGTAAGGACCTGGGTGACGGGGGAAGTGGCGTTCACGTAGGAATGGCCTGAGGGCCCAGGATGGGGTTATCTGCATGAATATGGTTCAACTGTTGAGTTTTCTCGGGAGTCGAAATAAAATGATCCTTTCTTTAGGTTTTTTTTTTTAATATAAGTTTGGTTTATTCATTCATTTCCCTTTTTTTATTTTGAATCCTTATTATTATGTGTCCTTCCTCAGTTACATCTTATCAGAAGCTGGAAAGGATCGTTAGTCCGTGTTTTTGCACTTTTCCCCCATGGTTTCAGCTCTTGGTTTCTCTGAGGCTTTACTTCCCGACCCCGCGTCTGATGAACGAGGAGATGTGATGGGGCACAGCGTCCCCGGGAGAGGGCTGTTTGCGGTCCCTCTGACCGCTTCGCGTTCCTCCGGTAGGTCCACGGCACCGCCCCAGACATCGCGGGCAAGGACATGGCCAACCCCACGGCCCTGCTGCTCAGCGCTGTGCTGATGCTGCGCCACATGGGGCTTTTCGACCACGCCGCGAGGGTTGAGGCTGCGTGCTTTGCCACGATCAAGGACGGAAAGGTATGGGTGGTCGTCTTGCACACACTGTGTCCGGGTGAAGGCAGCAGGCGTCGGCTCCCCGGGCACACGCGGTGCGATCTGTGGGGAGAGGAGCCGTGCGTTCCGTCGCGGGGGGCTCGGCAGCGCCGGCCCAGAGACACCCCTGTGCTTCGGGAGGAGCCGCGGTTCGGAGGCCAGAGCCAGTGAGGCCTCGGTGTCCTGTTGTCAGCGCACAACCGGGGCCAGGTCCCTGCGCCCCCCCCAGCAAACCCGTGCGGTGTGCGTGATAAAGTCTGCGGAGTCTAACACGCAAGGGGAGCTAAGGTCCAGGCCGCTGGGCTGGGAATCCAGCGGCAGGTCCAGGTCAGATGTGCGGGGACATGCTCCACGTGTGTTGTGAAAGTAAAACACGTTCATAAAAGGAATCATCGTGGCTGATGAACTAAATGTTGGGTGACTTTATGTTCTTCATGCACATCATCTCCGTGAATCTCTACTGCTCTGTGAAGCAGATGCTACGACTAACCCCCTTTGCCAGGTGAGGGAACCGGGCACAGAGAGACTGACTGAGGTCCCACAGCTCCTCCGGGGCGGCCGGGGCTCACAGTCTGGCTCGAACCCAGCTTCGTTGTTCTGAGCACGGGCGGAGAGCGAGGCCGGGCCTCAAAAGCATAGCATCTGTTTGGAGAGAGCGCTGCCTCAAGTCCTCAGTGGCCCTTGGAATTGTCGGGACGCAGTGGGACAAGAGAACCAGGTGTCTCGGGGTCCCTTTGGGAGCGAAGGGAGGACAAGCTGTCGGAGGACCCGGGGGCCGTGTGGGGGAATTTCTAAGGAGGAGAGTTGGAGAGCTAGCGGTTCAGGGGTGCTTGGCCGGCCGCCTCAGTGCAGTGTGGGCCTCCTGGTCTCCAGCTCATGAGTCAGGCCCCACATGATTCAGATATTACCTTAGATTTGTTTCTCAGCTTCCAAAATAGGTCAAAGGATGTTTTTTCAACTTTAAAAATTCCCCCAAGGGATTTATGGTTCGTTTAAATGTCCATAATCAATATTAGGGTCTACTGTACGGACAGAGGGAAAATTTTGGAAAGCCTCCCTCCTTGCTTTTGTCTCGAGAGCGCCTTGTCCTCTCCAGCGTGTGGTGCGTGCTAACCGGACCCCGGTCATCCTGGGTGGGGGCCAGACGTGCGCGGGGGCTCGCCGTAGAAACAGCCTGGCTTGGCTCTAGCATGTGGGTGCAGTTTATCTTTGCTTTTCTCTTTTCCCAGAGCTTAACGAAAGATCTAGGAGGCAACGCAAAGTGCTCCGACTTCACGGAGGAGATCTGTCGTCGAGTACGAGATTTGGACTGAGGCTCCTGTGAGTGGCGTCTGCGGGCGTTAGTGTTACCGGCCGCCGCAGGCGCCTCCCGTCGCGCACACGTTTGGTTCGCTTCTTTCCCGACAGTACACTTTTAGACGTGGCCTTTTCTGAACAAAATCTGTGCAGAGGCTGCGGGTGACGTCCCTAGGCCTGCTTTCAGAGGACTTTCCCCAAGTGCTTGTTTTATTTATTCTGTGTCTATCCCGTATATGTTTTTTGTAAATTCTAAGTGGACTGTGTCGTTTGCCATGTTAATCATTTTACACTTTGGTTAAAACGGTTTTTCCTCAGCTGTAAATACGATACAAAATTAATAAGAGAAAACATAACTTTTTAAAGAAAACCCTGTTTTCCTTGGTTTATGAAAAATGTAATAGAAACAAAATAGATTATTGACATGATAGTAAAGATGATATTCTTATAAAGCTAAACGGGCACAGGAGAGGTTTCCTGGAAAGTTCAGGTCAAAACCAGTGAATGGGGCATATTTCTTAGCGATGGGGGAAGTAGGCAGGTGTGTCCTTCCACGTGAATTACTGAGTATGAATAAAGACTTCAAGAACTACGTGACGAGAGATGTGATTTTTGTTAATAAGACACAGGCAGCATATTGGGGACAAAGACATGGGTTCGTGTGTCCAGTTACTTTGTTACCGGAGACGCCCGCTGCTGGCGAGACCCTCCATGGCCTGGAGGGGGGCTTTTGGCTGGACAGCGGGAGGCGTCTCTGGCGCAGGGCCGGCTGCACGCGGTCCACTCCGCCTGTAGCCGCCCAGGGCCCCCAGCGCCTCGGTTCTGGCTGCAGTAGAGCTGGGGTTGCTGGCTGGCCCGCCCCGTCCCCAGGGCACCGGGTCACTGCCCGCCGTCCCACCTCAGCGGCGCCAGCCAGAGATGAGCCCGTGGCGGGGCCTGGGCGCAGCCGCTGACCGCCCCCAGCACGACTGCCCTTTATGTCAGACTCCAAGTCACTGTTTTCGGAGACTCCTTTCCTCTTTGCGCCCCCGCCCGCCGGCGTGGCATTGCGAACCCGTGGGTCTTGCAGAGCGCGCCCTGAGCACGGGATTCCTTAGCGAGGGTCCCCGTCTGGGCGCTTTGTCAGGCTCGGCACCACTCACGTCTCACGTGTGTTTGACTTGGTTCAGCTGCGGCTTTCTCTGCTCTGTTGGATCACGCCAATGATCCGCCCCACTAACAAATTCCAGAACTGACTGAGGCGTGTCGGAGGTCACAGGCTGCGTATTCGGGCTGTGGGGCTAGCACGAGCCGCCTGCTTTCACAGCGTGCTCCCCTCAACGCCATCCTGCGCTGTGTGGGCTCCGGGGCGTGGAGGGTCACGCCCGCGGCGCATCGGCCCGTGGGTTCGATACCCACGACTCCCTGGCCCGCCTGCTCAACTGACAAGAAAAATCAGGTACTTGCTGGCAAGTCTGTTAAATGGTTTAATATTCAAATCACAGTACAAACAGGCAACAGCGGTTTTATTAAGCATCAGGTCAGTCGGCAAGTGTGAGGTGCCCAGCGCCCAGGGCTGGCACAGCGGGGTGGGCAGCGGCCGTGGGTCCAGAGGAGGTCGGACTGACCGTGGGCTCTCCTGCGGCGCGCCAAGTAACTCTGGCCGTCCCTCTCCGTCCTCCCCTACACGAGCCAGCAGCCCGCCCTTTATGACAAATGAGCTGATCTCATTTGTCACCTGAACAAAAAGCAATGCTTAAAAGTAAAACTATCCACACGTGAAGCTTCTGGGATCGTCAGCGGCTGCTGGTGCCAGACCCGGTAAACGTGGACACCAGTGCCGTGGCCGGATGCGGAGACCTCACAACCTTGCTGGGCATCAGTGTGCCCAGACCAAGGGGGACCCGGAGCCCAGGATGACCTCCAAAAGGCCTGCCATCTTCAGCGGAAACTGGGAGGATGGCCCCGATTACTTCTTCTGCTCTTGGTAAAAGGAGTCGATGATGTCTTTGTACTTGTCCAGAACCGTGAGCCGTTTCACCTTCATTGTGGGACCTGAAGGAGCGATTGGAAAGAGGGAGTGAGGCCTGGCTGCTGAGAAGCCCAGGAAGGTGTGCGCTGAGGGTCGCGAAAGACCAGGAGGCACCGCCTTCCTTAGCCTGCACCCGTTTCTGATCCTCCGCGTATTTTCTGTTCTGTCTTCTGGTGAATCGGTGACTCACACCCTCAAACGAACCCACAGAAGTACAGTTTCTGTCTTGGGCTCTCGGATCCTCCCGGGGCAGGCGAACCGCCTTGCTGGGAGCGCACAGGCAGCCTCGGGACAAGGCTCCGGCCAACACGCGCGTCGAGAGCGGGCGACGGCCATCCGGCCGACGTCCCGACTGTGACCTCACGAGACCCCAAGCCAGAACCACCCAGCTAAGCTGCCCTGGATTTCCGACCCACAGAAGTCAAGATAATAAATGCTTACTGTGTCAAGCTGCTAAATTTGGGGGTAATTTGTTACACAACAGTAGCTAATGGGTGAACGGCCCGTGACCGCGCACACGACGTGGAGCGTTACGCTTGGCTTGCCCGACCAGCCGGGGGCAGACCGGGTGCGCCACCTCGTCCAACGTGGTCTCTGGGAGAGGTCTTTCCCAAATCCCTGTTCTTGGCCCTGGTTCTTCCCTCTAAAGCATGGCCGCAAGGGCTCTGATTCAGCTTGGGGGCAGCTTGAGGCCATTTTGCACTAACACACTCGGCTGTGTAATTGGAGACTTCAAAGTCACTTCTGGAAGCTGGCCGGAGGCTGTTCCAGAAGCCATTCCCGCCCCCCCTGGCCGCGAACACCCCACATGCTTCAGCCAAGAGTGACTTCCTCCATCCAGCTGAGGCTGCACCAGCAGCCTTTCCTGGCTTTGTGGACCACGGTCCAGAAGGGCTTCATTCCTTCACCTGCACGTGAGCTGAGCTCCTAGAGCCAGGGGACTCCAGCCCAAACACTAACAGGGCCTTAGGGTCTGCCTCCTGGTCCCGCTGTGATTGCAGGGGAAAATGGCCCCCCAGTCAAAGCAAAGTTAAAGGTTCTATGTTCAAATTAATAGGCTCCAGCACACATTCAGTGCATGCGTCTGGCTCTCCCCGGGTGCAAGCCCGCACACCGGGCAACGTGTCCTCCTGCCAGAAGGAGGGGGCTGTCTGTGGCTTTGTGCTTGCGCTGGGCTTCCTCCCAGGCTCTGCCGTGGCCTCTGCCCTCCCACACGGCCCCTCGAATAGCGAGAACAAACAAGCAAGAAAAAAAACCCTACCCAACTCTCCACCCGAAATGGAGAAGTCCCTCTGGAGAATGGCCCACTTCTGGATGCGGTAGGGTCGGGCAGCTGCGTTCTTGTTGACCCTCTGGATCCCCTGCTCAATGGCCTGATACACGGCCTCGTCCTTGGTGCCCACGATCTCAGACACAGTGGTGGCTTTGCTGCCCACCCTCTGGCAGAAGGCCACAGCTGGTTCAGTTAGGCTGTCCGTCGGCTCGGAGGTGTCTGGGTCCAGCACACACTGAAAAGCCAGAGGTCAGACCAGGCCCGAGCCTCACCCCACAAGACACAAGCCCCGGTCTCGGAGGATGTGGGTCACCATGAGCTCTGTTCAGAGACGGCCTGTGGTGGAAGGGCACCTAGCAGCACCTCAGCCAATAAAACCATGGGCTAGAACAGGGACCCCTCCGGCCCCGCCCAGCAGCCTAGGCTCCGAGCATCTGCGCGGGGGAGTGAGGGCGGCAACCCGGGGGAGCCGGGCTGAGCTGGACCATAACGGGTCATCACAGCAGCATGTGACCAATTGTGTTTCCTGCCCCTGTTGCAGGTAGCCCACAGGCTATCCCAGAATAAAGTCTCGAGATGTAGATGTGTCCTGGCCGAGCATGGCTTCTGCTTGGGCCAGACCCACAGACCACCCACCCCCCTAGAGCCAGACCCCTTGACATACCTTCAAGGTGAGCAGCATGGACAGGAACTTCCTCTGGTCCCCGATCAGCATGGCATTGCTGACGATGGGCAGCTCCATCTTCACGGCCTCCTCGATGGGCACAGGGGGCACGTTCTCTCCACCGGCTGTGATAAGTAATTCTGGGAGGTGGGGCCAGGCCCCCGGCACAGGTTTGAGTCCAGGTGCCCGGGCTGGACCAGGACCCAAACCTCGGCCCCAGACCCTGGAGGCAGGAGCATCGGGTAGCACTGTGGATACTTGGGGGGTGGCGGGGGCAGTGCCACACCCTCGGAAGCACCGCACACCTGCTGGGGACACACCTGCTGGGGGGGACACCTGCTGGGGAGACACCTGCTGGGGGGACACACCTGCTGGGGTGGGACACCTGCTGGGGTGGGACATCTCCTGGGGGGACACACCTGCTGGGG